ACAGCCTCTCGACAATATGCGTTTTTGCTGGCTGTAGCAGCGCTAAAGCGCTGCTATAGCGCTGCACAGCAAAAACGCATAAAAATTGACTTTTTTTGTTAAACAGTTTTAAATATTCAAGCACTTACCATATTTTGGTTAGTAGCTGTCACTTTTTTTTCGCTCGTTGTGCAACCAGCAACTTTTCTATTCCCTCTATTTTGGACTCTTCTTGTCCACAAAATTTCATAGATACATCCAAATTGTTCCTTTCTTCTCTATGTTGACCCTTTCCTGTGTTTGATCAGAGTGCATGAGTACAGTTCTAAATTTCTGTTTGATTAATTGACTCTCACTTTCACCACACAGTCCTCTCAGTTATTTTCCAAGCGTACACTGTTTTGATAAGAAGTTCGTTTACGTATTCTTCCAACCCGTAGAAAAAAGACTTACTGCCTTATTTCATTGCGAAGCTTAAAAAATCCTTTTTGAACTCCTGAGTAGCCATAACCATTTAAGACCAACTGTGCTGCGGAACAGTAAAATGGGTATGGAATTAAGCAAAGTGACTAGGATGATCAGTTTCCGCCAAGTTTTAGTTGTTTTACGCAGTATATTATCACCATCTACTGAAAAGCACGGCTTTTCAGTTTTCGTTTATTATCAGACAAAGCAGTACTTTTTTCAATTTCCTCGATTTCTTGTTTTAACATTTACGACTTTCTAGTGGACACGCAAATTTACGAACTTGGCGAGAATAAGAAATGGGATAAGCAGACTCTGATTCGAAGTACCGTTAGCAGTGGATATATGTATATCACGCAATTTATTAACAATCCGGGTAATTATGTAAGTGTGCTTTTACATTTCATTTTCTTTTTCAGCTTATTAGCTAGAAACGTGGAGATTAGGTTGTGTGCTTTCATAGTTTGTGTACATGTTTTTCGATTTCGATGTTGATTATGCAGCTGGCAACTTTTCCAGTTGATTTAACTAATGTTGCATTGTGTGGGTTCAGCCTGTGAACGAATATGACAGTCTTTTCGTCACTAGTGGTATCTCTTTCATATGTCACCGGTCCGCTTGGATCTGCTTCAGTGATGAGTCATATCTTTCAACAATTTACTTTAAACAAAATAAATTTTCGAAATTATCACAAGTCATCGAGACTTGCCAAAATAAAAACAGACCTAGAGAATGTGTCGAGTGATAATTATTTTGCACTTAGCCACATCCCATTAATTTTGAGAATTTGCACTGATAACTATTGTTGATTAGGAAAGTGAAACAATTGTGTGTTTCAGTCGTATTTTGCAAACAATGGAATGTTGTGCAATCATGCATCGAACGAATGGGGTATTATCAGTGGCGAGCAATATCTGTACAAAATCTGTACTCCAATCGGACATCGTCCGTACCCAGGAACTGCGTTGTCGTTTATCAGGGATAATGACAAGATGGCTTTCTTCGATCGGCCATATGATAACCGCGATCTGACGTAAGCAAATCATAAACGCTGCAAATTTTTATTGTTAGAAGAATGATATTACTAATTCTAAATTGCAGTAGTTATTAAAAAATTTTTGTACCGGAAAGGCAGTGTTGCCCGCTTTAATATTGCAAAATTTTTATGAGATGAGTGTTTACTTGTGTGGATCGCTGTTTGGCGTGGTGCTGTGAGCGTATGCGCACTGTAGAGAAGCAAAATCAAGTTTATGACTTACTGATACCGTGCAAACAGCAAATAAACAGCACGAAGTGTGTCGCTTATAATCTATCAAGTCTGTGAGCTTACCGAGCAAAAGTCGTTATAGCAGAGCATGGTTGATGAGGGCCAGGAGTATATCAGACGAGGTCGACTCCTTGAGGAGCTCATCGAGAAGAATGAGAGCCGTCGTCCCGGTGAAGGAGGAAACTGAGAGACCACGAGGAATGGTGGGGAGGTATATAAAAGGTGCGCGAACCGCCCCAAAAGAGGATGTGATAGTTTTTTGGAGGGGTTAAAAATGTGAAAATGATAATTGAGATAAAGTGAAATGTGAAAAGGGAAAATGGAAATAAGGGTTTTCAAGGGGATTAAAAAAAGGGGAATGAAAGGAAAAATAAGGAACTAAAACGGCTGGGAATGCAAGCACATTCCAAAATACAAGTAAAATGGGATAAAGGGGACGAATGTATAATTAGGTTTTTTTACGGGTGTAAAAAAGAGGAAAGACGAAAATGCAGAAAATTGAAAACACCCAGGAATGCAAACAGCATTCTGAGTCACAGGGTAAAAAAAGAAAAGAAAACAGCAAAAAATATTATATAATTTTTATAAAGAGAAAAGCAAACTTTACACTATTTTTGGGATGTTAAAAGTCAAAACTTTCTCCGCACTTGCTTTTTATTATGCATTTTTGCCGTGCAGCGCTAGAGCGCTGCAAGAGGCAGCAGAAACGCATATTGCAACGACCCTGTGTGTGTGTGTGTGTGTGCGTGTGTGCGTGTGTGTGTGTGTGTGTATGTTCGTCCAGGTATTTCAACTTATTAACCGCGCAGGCTTTGAAGCTGAAATTTTGTCAGTGTGTTCCTTAGTCAGGTACCACCCCAGGATCGCAGTTTCAACCCTCACACACGTCTGGGCCCCGCGTACGGG